AACATCAGTAATGTTTTTCAATCTGAGAGACAGGGTAGAATACCCTCAAGGAACTGTCAGTTTTCTATGACATACAAATAAAATGGAAAACTGAATCCTCTATAGAAAAGCAGTTACAAATGTGTGATAGGATATATTCTTTGTACATTACATAAAATGCAACATAAGGAAAACTGATCTCTAAAACATATGACTACCTACAGTTTTGTTTTATAGCCAGGAAATGTTGCATAATAGCGACACACTGACATTTCCTTGTCGCTGTAACTCATTCCATTTTGTTCACAGGAGTTAGAAGCTAAACGGATGGTAACTGCTTCATTGCAGCTGATGACTTTACCTTCTAGAAACTGAGCCGAGACTGATGAAAGCATCAGCATCCAGAACCACATTTCAGCATATATGTAAGTGTGATACTGAGTAGAAACCTTAGCATACCTCACCATGATCTTAAGCTGTAATTGGCATTACTGACAATATCAACTGTTACTGTTCCTTTTCGTCTTCTGTACGTGTGATTGTTCTAATGAATGTGCAAAGAAAAACACATTGCAGAAGAGTGACAGGAATCATGAAATTTTTTTCTGCTATGAGTTAGTCTCAAATGACCTCTCTCTCTAGCCTGTATCAGCTAAACACCTACTCTGCAGTGAAGCAAGAGCTTTTAGCTTCAGCTAAGAATGTCTAAGAGGGGCAGTAGATAAAATGTCACTGCTATAGTTTATGTCTGCTCTGACCATGCTGTAGGACAACTAAAGGGTCTGAAGTTAACTTGACCAATTTTCTGTATGCAGAAAAGAGAAAGTGCAAAGATGAGAATCCTGACTCTGCAGTGACATCCACATCTCTGATTTTGACCTGAACTGTAGTAATACAATTTTCCATCAATTTGAACACACACCTGAAAGTCTCATGTCTGAAAGCACTGAAAACCTAGTCACGTCAGAGGTCTGGAAGAAGGAGAGAAAAATTGTTTGACTTTCATATCAGATTTTAAAAAGTCCTTGTTCAATAACCCATACATATAGTTGTATCTCAAGCAGACATGAGTCTCAAGGAAGCTGATGTAGATGTTAATAACAATTAAGCCCTTGTTCAATAATCCATACATATGGTTGTATCTCAAGCAGACATGAGTCTCAAAGAAGCTGATGTAGAGGTTAATAACAATTAAGCCTGACTCTTGTGAAGTTGTTTAATTTGCTGGTATGGTAACTTAACTTGCTCTTGTTTCCTTCAATTGCAAAAGTGTTTTGTGTGTGAGAGTAACATTGAATGATGGGAGTTCAGGGAAATCCTGTTCTTCAGTGAGGTGTTAAATAAGGACAATCTGGCACTCTTGAACTGTGGCCTTTCAGGAATGTTCTTGAGCCTCAAATAATTTTATCCAGAAACATATCACTGTGTCAGTGTTTAACCCCAGCCAGCAACCATACAGCTGTATAAACCCCACAGGATGAGATAAGAACAGTTTAAAAACTGAAATAAAGTAGAATATATCACTAATAATAATGATAAGGAAAATTATAAGGGAAGAGAATATAAAAAAAAAAGGGTAAAGGGAAAATTATAATAACTAGCAATGGCCAATACAATTGCTCGCTACCTGCTGATCAATATCCAGCCCAACCCGAGCAGCAATTGGTCCTTTCTGGGTAACTCCCACCAGTTCCTATACTGGGCATGACGTGCTGTGGTATGGAATACCCTTTTCGCTAGTTTGGGTGAGGTGTCCTGTCTCTGCTTCCTCCTGGTTTCCCGTACCCCTCCTCACTGGCAGAGTATGACACTGGAACTTCCTTGATCAGGGTATATATGACTTAGCAACAACTAAAACATTGGTGTTATCAGCGTTGTTCTCAGGCTAAAGTTGGAAAAACAGCACTGCACCAGGTACTAAGAAGGAGAAAAATGACTGTTACAACTGAACCCAGGACAGCATTCACCCCTTATTCCATACTGTTCATGTGATACTTAGATCATGTATTTCAAAATATACCATCGCTTTTCATCTCAACACAACACTGCTGAAACCATTCCACCTAAAACCAGGACACATTCTGCTTTTCTCAGAAAACCATCAGGTTCTGAACCATAGGAGAACGCAATAGACTTGGGTTGTATGCAAATTAAAAAAAAAATAACAACAAAAAACCCCACATAATTTGTTAGAATAAGCTGCTCTTTCTTAAAAAAACAATTCCTCTGTACATGAATACACAAGTTAAACAAGTTATTCCTATTTCTGCCTTTGAACATATTTGTACATGCTATGCATTCTTTCCTGTCTGGCCATGTCCATGAAATTGCTCAAAAAAGAAAGATATATTTTTGTTCTGTGACTTCAACAGCACTCGAGTGCATGTCACAATATATGGAAACAGCCCCAGTGCTACTGCTGTTGCCTTTCCAGTTTCTCATGGGTATACATCAGTTGCCAGTACAGATCAATGGCCTGCATTAACGTTCCTTGAATCTTGGACAGATGAGGACCATTTTTCTTATTTCTAGAAGCTGCACTTTGTATTTGAATAGTTGAAGATCAAGGCATGCACTGCTGACAGCTGTTTATCACACCCAGCTAAGGAACAGTTCAGCTGAAAAAAACACTGTGTTGTAAAAAGACACTTCTTGTTCAGCAGCATCCAAGGCCAGATGGATGGCTTTCACATACAAAAACCTAAGGCCAGTTCTTTTACTTCCTCTGTTGTTCAATGCTCCACTACTTTCTTGTCCGTTTGAACCCTGGCTGAGAACTAAGTACCATGCATCTGCTTGCTCCCTCCCCACCACCCTCCTGCCCCTTGGTGGGATGGGAAGAAGAACCAAAAAAAGGTAAAACACGTGATTTAGATGAGTTTAATAATTTAAATACAGAGAAATACTGTAACAACAACAGCAACAGTAATGAAAAGGGTGGTAAAAATGGAGAGAGGATTAAAACTGAAGACAGACAAGTGATGCCCAATATAATTGCTCAGCACCCACTGACCAATCCCCAGCCCAATCCAAGTAACCACCGGTCCCTCCCGAGTGACTCCCCCCACTTTCTATACTGGGCATGACGTGCCTGTGGTATGGAATACCCCTTTGGTTACTTTGGGTCAGGTGTCCTGCCTCTGCTTCCTCCCGGCTCGCTGCAGAGCATGAGACTGAAAAGTCCTCCATCAGGGGAAGCGCTAGTGAGCAACGACGTGTTGCTGTCAGACTAGAGCCAAAACACAGCACTGCACCAGGTACTAAGAAGGCGATAAAAGACTGTTACAGCTGAACCCAAGACAGTATCCACCCCTTATTCCATACCGTGCACGTCATGCTCAGATCACATATTGCAAAATGTATCATGGCTTTTTATCTCAATACAGCACTGCTGCTAGGAAGGCAATTAACTCCATCCCAGCTGAAACCAGGACACCTTCTGGTTTCGTCAACCACCAAGTTCTGAATCATCAGAGAAAACACAATATACTTGGGGTTTATGCAAATGAAAAGCATCCAACATCATTTGGTAGAATAAGATACTCTTTCTTAAAAATCTGTCCCTCTGTGCATGAATACACAAGTTAAACAAGTTATTCCTACTTCTGCCTTTGAACATATTTGTACATGCTAAGCATTTCTTCCTGTCTGGCCATAGGCGTGAGATTGCTTAAAAAAAGAAGGATGTGTTTTTATTCTGTGACTTCAACAGCACTCGGGTGCGTGTCACAATATATGGAGACAGCCACAGTGCTATTGCTGTTGCCTTTCCTGTTTTTCATGGGTATACATCAGTTGACAGTACAGATCAATGGCCTGCGGTTAAGTTCCTTGAATCTTGGACAGATGTAAAAAGCACTGTTAAGTATCCTAACTGATACACGAGGCTAAATAGCTCTCCTGTAAGGACTAGCAAATTGCCACATCAACAAGATAGGAAAGAAGAATTTACAGCCTTCTGTTCATAAAAGATTGTGGACTTCATACTCTTCAGTTTGTGACAAAAGCATCCCGGGATGAGTTTGTTGTGTTTGGATGATGAGAACTTGGCCATACCATCTGCTTTACACCAGACTTTATAAACACAGACCTATGCACTTGCTGGGTAAAAGCAAGCTGATCCATCCAGCAAAAGTGAGCTGAGCTGCAAAGAAAGATACCTGTTGGAGTTCTGCTAAAGACCTGGATGCCTGCACCAAGCACATGGCTTGAGGTTTTCCCCTCAAGGAGTGAAAGAATCCCTCCTCTCAACCTGCTGGCAGTGGGCTGCCTAATGCAGGCCAGGAAGCCCTCGGCCTTCTTTGCTGCAACAAAGCATCATCAGGCCACGGTCAATTTGATGTCCACCAGAGACCCCAGGTCCTTTTCTGACCAGCTCCTTTTCAGCCAGCCAGCTCCCAGCCTCTACCAGTGTACGTGGTTGTTCTTTTCCAGGTGCGGAACTTCACATTTCCTTTTGTTTGACATTTTCCTGCAGTGCTTCACCTGCAGTAAACCATAAACGTCATTTGTGCCACAAAGACCTGTGTATAAATGATGAACTGAGCCTAAGAAACAGTATCACAAAAAGTGCAGGTAGAGAGGAGAACAAAAATTTGGAATAACCTTGCAGAATGACAGCAGGAGTAAGAAGTTGTTAATGGTATTCCAAAATAGTGATAGCATACTATTAGTGATATAGCATACCAATAGTGATTCAGCTTGTAAACTTCCATCACAAAACTATGCGTGTGCCAAACGAATTGCAGGACACAGGTCTCAGATATTCCTTTTCCCTTGCAAATTCCATCCCAGAAGTGTGCTCAGGTTTTAAACAACATCAAATACTTAAAAATCGTTCACTGCACAAACTAAGTTTTCATTCAATATACACACATATATATACACACTCACAAAAAGAGAGACAGCACTCCTTATTCCATGGACCAATCCTAATGCACATGAATGAAAGAAAAGCAAGTAGTAACAATATATAAATACTAAAACCCCCATCACAATAACTGTCTGTAGGGAAGTTCAAATTACAAGCTTTTACCTAACATAGAAAGGATCGGAGTGTCATCAGCGTTGTTCTCAGAGTAAAGGAAAGACACAGAACTGCACCATCTAAGTGGCTTGTAGACCACATGACGCCTCGGCACCACTGGAGGCTTGGGCACTGCTGGAGGCTTGGGTGTGACAGGAAGCTTGGTGTCCACAAGTGTCTTGGGTACCACAGGTGGCTTGGGCACCACTGGAGACTCTGGCACAAGAGGAAGCTTGGTGTGCGTAAGTGGCTTGTAGACCAGGGGACGCCTGGGTACAATAGGTGACTTGGGCACCACAGGAGGCTTGGGAATCACAGGAAGCTTGGTGTCGGTAAGTGTCTTGGAGAAAACAGGTGAGTTGGGCACCACGGGTGGCTTGGGCACCACTGGAGACTTTGGCACAACAGGAAGCTTGGTGTCCGTAAGGGGCTTGGAGACCACGGGTGGCTTTGGCACCACAAGAGGCTTGGGAATCACAGGAAGCTTGAAATTCAAAAGTGGCTTCAGGAAAACAGGTGACTCGGACAACATAGGTGATTTGGGCATCACGGAAACCTTGGTGTCCGTAAGTGGCTTGTAGACCACAGGTGGCTTGAGCACCACAAGAGGCTTGGGAATCACAGGAAGCCTTGTGTCTATAAGGGGCTTAGAGACCACGGGTGGCTTTGGCACCACAAGAGGCTTGGGAATCACAGGAACCTTGGTGTCTGTAAGTGGCATGTGGACCACAGGATGCCTTGGCACCACTGCAGGCTTGGGCACCACTGGAGGCTTGGGCATCACAAGAAGGTTGGTGTCCACAAGTAGCTTGGAGAAAGCAGATGAGTTGGGCACCACAGGTGGCTTGGGCACCACTGGAGAATTTGGCACAAGAGGAAGCTTGGTGTGCGTAAGTGGCTTGTAGATCAAGGGACGCCTGGGCACCACAGGTGGTTTGGGCACCACTGGAGGCTTGGGTGTCACAGGAAGGTTGGTGTCCACAAGTGGGTTGGAGAAAGCAGATGAGTTGGGCACCACAGGTGGTTTGGGCACCACTGGAGGCTTGGTGTTGATAAGTTGCTTGGACAACAGAGGTGACTTGGACACCACAGGAGACTTGGGCACCGCAGGACGCTTGGGTACCACGGGTGACTTGGGCACCACGGGGCGGACAAGAGGCAGGAAGGTGGGGAGTATGGCCTGGGGTTGTTGCTCTTCCAGCTGGGGCTTCATTAGTGAGTAGCCTTCCACCAGCTGCTCCAGCCCCACATCAGGATGTGCGGCCACTGTTGCCTGCAGGAAGAAATGGAAGAAGTGGGTTGGAAAAGTAGAGGACAGTCACTGCGCTGGCCCTGCTGCCACACTGGTGCTGGGACAGGCCAGGATGCTGGTGGCTTCTTGGCTGTCTGGGCACAAGCTGCTCATGTTTGGGCGGGGAGTGGGGGCTCAGGGTGCCCACCCCAGAGCCCCCCAACCCACCTCTTTGTAGATGAGGTCGAAGGCACTGGTGGAGCAGACAGGGTTCTCCTTGTGGTCCAGGACCAGGCGCAGCGCGTCGCGCAGGACGGCGGCACAGAGCTGTCGGGGCACCGTTGAGCAGGGCTCCAGGGATGGATGTGTGTTAATCTCCAGCAGCCAGGGCTGGCAATTCTCCCGGAACGTGAAGTCCGCTCCGTAGAGCTCGAAGCTGCCCTTGCGCACCTCCACCAGCTCCTGGGTGCTGCGCAGGGCAGGCACCAGCACCTCCTTCATGCCGGGGACAATGAGCTTCTCCCAGGCCTCTGCGTGTCCCGCTCCCTGAAGGTACAGCTGGAACTGCTGGCTGGACCAGATCATGTCACGGGGCAGTTTGGGGTGCCAGCCCCGAGCCAGCCTCCACCGCTTCTGGATGATGACGTTGAAGAGATGCTGGGAGCTGGTGTGGGGAGAGCAGGGATGGGTCAGTGGGGTGCCGGGGTACTGGGTGTGCGGCAGCACCCCTACAGGGTGGGGTAGGGGGCAATTACCGATGCAGGCAGTGCATGGAGAAGGGCCGGGAGCAGAAGCGCACGTAGCTGTCCCAGTAGAACCAGACGGTGAGCAGGCTCCAGTCGCTCACCAGAAGCCGTTGCCGAAGGTCGAACTCGGTGCCCAGGATGGTCAGCGGGGGTGTCAGGCGTCTCTCTGCCAGCTCCAGCACCTCCTCCAGCCGCGCCGTGCAGGTGATGATGCCTGCGATGGGAGAAACACAGGGACAGTGAGACCCCCCCCCAAGCCCCCCTTTCCCCTTGGCTTCACCTCTAGCGCAGGACTGGACTCCACCCTCGACGATCCAAAGGTTGTGATCACCCTCCATGCGGAGCTGCGGCAGCCGTGCCTGCGGGTGCTGCAGCAGGGCCCTGCACTGCTTCCACTCTCGGGTGCTGGGCGCCAGCCTGACCTGCTCGCTGCAGGGTGGTGACACGGGGGGCTCAGCACCAGCACTGCCGTGCTGCGTGCCCCCCCAGCCTGTCCCACCCTGCACGCACTGCACCACGCTGTAGCCATCTTGGCACTGGCTGCTCCAGATGAAGGTCGGCGTCTGGTCTCGCACCATGGAGGACTGCGGCAGGGAGAGAGGGGACCGGGGTGAGCTCTGAAGTCCCCATTCCACCCTCACCGCCCAGCCCAGGCTGTGTCCTACAGAGTCCAGCCCCGGCCTTCTCCACTAACCATGATGTCATGGATGCCATCATGGTCCTCATCATCCCACAGCTCCTCCGCTTCTGCCTCTTCCTCCGGCATCTCCACTGTGGGCTGAACCCAGCAGGATGCTGGCCCTGCCTCTGAACCCAGGGCTGCCTGCCACTGCTCAGCCAGCCGCTTCCCGACTTCCGGCTGCCCCAAGAGGGGGTCCCCCCTGGCGGTTCTGGAGAACTTCTTCTCCACCCAGCCCCATGCCCGCCGCACCTTGCGGGTGACAGGGGAGGGGCGCCGCGCCGTGGAGGTCTTCTCCTGAGGAGGGCTGTGAGTATTCAGCTGTAAACGCAATAAGCACATGTACATGGCATGCTGGGGGGAGCTCTGTGTGTGTGTGTGTGTGTGTGTGTGTGTGTGTAATCAGTCCCCACCTTGATGGGCTCTTGCAGGTGCTTCCTGGCCCTCTTCAGCAGTGCCATGGTGACCGAGGGCTGCTGCTTGGTGCTGGCAGGAGCTGCCAAGGAGAAGGCAGGCTGAGCCGCTGGCCCCGTGTCCCCAGCCCCACACAGGGGGGGACAGCAGGGCAGGGGGGGAAGGCACCCACCTTTGTGCTTCTGCCTGCCTGAGCCGGGTCTGCCCAGCGCAGAGTGCACTGGCTCACAGAGCTTCGCGCCGGAGTCCCGGCTGCTCTACACCCCCCAGGGGTTCCTCACGGGGCCCGAAGACCCCACTCGGTCCCCCAACACCACCAGGAAATTCGCAAGTCTCGCAAGTCTGGCAGTCGCCAAAGAGAGAGTGACTCCTTCCAGCAATAGCCTGAGGGCGAGGGGAGCTGCGTGTGATTTTGTACCCCCGGGCACCAAGCAAGCGCATCCCCTCTCCCTTTGGGGACCGAGGTGGGGTCCAGCGCGTGGACCCCCCAACCCCTGCCTGCACCAGCCCCGGCCCCACTGCCCCGAAGGGGGACAAGCACCAGCCCCCGGTGCCAGGTGTGTCACTCCCCAACCTCCCAGACCCCTTTCCCGACCCCTTTTTCCCATGGAGACACCCCCAACCCTCAAACCGCTTCGTGCCCCACATCCCGAGGCTCCCCCCACCTCCTCTGGTGTCCCCCTGCCCCGTTCAAGCCCATTTATCCCCCCCTTTTCAGGCCACCCCCCGCGCTCCTCCGCCCATAGCTCCTGCCCCTACCGTCGGGCCCGCTCGCTCTGTTTCCGGTTGCCCGGCCGCTCCACGAGGAGCCCGGCGCTCCAACGGCCCCGCGCGTTCTGTGCCCCCGCGCAGGCGGGCCCTGCCCCCGGGCGTTCCGTGGGCCCAGGGCCACTGAAAGGCAAGAGGAGAAGAGAGGCGGCTGTGAGCCCTGTGTGCCCCAGCGCCCTGCGGCTGCGTCCCCAGTGCCTGCTGCCCCGCTCAGCGTGCTCTGGGCATCCCAAACCCAGCACTTCCCCAGCACAGGGGGCACAAGCACCCCGGGGCGTCCTCCCACCCTGTGCCCAAGAGGCTCTTGCACACTGGCACTGCTGTCCCCGTAGCTTGCCTTCGGGGGCTCTGGGCATTAGAACCACAGCGGCTTGGAGGCCCCTCTCCCGCCCCCAAAATCCTAACACGAGGGATCCGCCTCCTCCCGTTCCAGAGCCTCATGTTCTGAAGGAATTCCTCTGCCATGATGCGGGCCCTGCTGTTGACACACAGCTTCATCTCGCTGATCTCCTTGTCCGTATCCTCCATGAAGTGGAGAAGAAAGCCCACCAGCTTGTGCTTGTGACAGCTGGACCCAGGACAGTATCCACCCCTTATTCCATACCATTCACATCATGCTCAGATCCCATAGTTTAAAACGTACCATCACTTTTTGTCTCAATAGATGTACGTATAGATGTATACACACACACATATACACACACAAAAAAAGATTTAATTCGTTAGGCCATGGAGCAATCCCTATAAAGCTGCTGAATCCGTCCAGTCCATGATATCAGGCTCCATCTCTTGTAACAGTGTCTCGGGGCAGGAAAGACCATGTGTAGTGTTGGGTTGTTGCCTGCTGATGACACCACCGAAGTGGTCCAGTCACAGCTGAGCTCGTCTGGTTTCATTAAAGTTCATTCTTCACTGGGGAGATGGTTGGAGGGAAGGCAGGGCCAAGCGATGGTGACCTGAGGTCAGTTCTACTGCTGCTGCTGCTGGCTTTTCCATGACTTTGTGCTCCACTGATGATCATATCAGCACGTATCTTCTCTTCAAAGCCCAGAGTGGTGGAGACGGGCATCTAGCTGAGGCGCTATGAAAGTGTTCTATAGCAGGCAGCAGCACATAGTTGAGTTCATTGGCTGTTTTACCCCAGAATCAAATCCCCTTGAAGTACACACCAGTTTTCTCCATCTGCCCACAGTACCCGCCAAGTACATCCGGGTCCCTGAGCAAAAGCAATCCCACCAGTGGGTTTGCCTTTACCTGAAGCAGGAATAACCCAGGCTGTCTTCCCCAGGAAATTCTTTATGGGCGCCACAGGAACTTTATCCCCTTCTACAGTATGTAACAGTTCTGGCTGTTTTCCTCTGATGCCAGTTTTCTTGCCAGCGCCCTTCACACTCTCTAGGCTGCAGATGTTGCTGCACCTACCTCTTGCACATCTGTCCCCTCTTCCACCAACCTTCTGTAGGGATGTCTTTCCCTAAGAGGAATGCACTACAAAAGAAGGAATCAAAGAGCAGCTGTTGATGCTTATTCCTTCCCACTTCAGTTTGCACTGACTGACTCGTCAGCTTTCCAATCCACCCCTCTTCCACATCAGCGAAGAGCCAGTGGTGTTTTGGGAATGTCCTTTTGGTGGATTCAAATACCAGGAACAAGGACAAAACAAACCTTCCCTGGGAAGTCTTGAAAAGACAAACAATCTCAACAGTGAAGTTACCACATACAACTACTCAAATCAACTCAGGGCAGTACTACAGAATCAAGCAAAAGAAAAACACAAAGTTCAAGACACAGAGGAGAAGAACTGTTCAAGTCAGTGTATTTGTTCTTCATGGTTTCCCTGAGTTTTAACCTTTAACACAGTTTTCACATTTCTTTAGAAACACAGAAGATCTCTGCACTTTGTCATCTTACCTTCCTTACTGAAACTTGGTGTTAGTGTGGAATTCTAAGATGCTTTTTGAAACATGAAGAGAAATCAGCAAGGGATCACAGAAGCAGATTCAGCTCCGTAAGCTATCACATAGGATCTGCTTTTCAACAGGCCCAGAGAAATTGTTTCCAAACTGTATTTAAGTCTGGGGCTTGCAGCACCTGCTGTAAGTATTTACATCAATAGGCCTCATGCATCACACTTCTTACCTTTGTTTGGTACTGACACTGTAACAGTATTGGCAGCATGGACTGCCAGAAGGTGGCTTCTATTTGAAAGAAGATTATTTTTTGGCACATACCCTATCCATCTAATAAACCTGCATCGTTATTTTTACAGTTCTAGATCCTGGCCACCACGTGCTGTGGTAAGGAATGCCTCTGTAGCTAGTTTGGGTCAGGTGTCCTGTCTCTGCTTGCTCCCGCCTTCCCCTCCTTCCCGGCAGAGCATGAGACTCACAAAGTCCTTGGTCAGAGTAAACATTACTTAGCGAGAATTGAAAACACCGGTGTTACCAGCGCTGCTCCCAGGCCAAAAGTCCAAAGCACAGCACTGCGCCTGCTACTGAGAAGGAGAAAAATGACTGCTACTGCTGAACCCAGGAGAAGCTC